TATTGGGTATCTGGGTTGGAATGGGATACAGTGAGGTCAATATGAGTACAGGCTATTGGGTATCTGGGTTGGAATGGGATACAGTGAGGTCAATATGAGTATTTGATATGTGGCATGGAATACAATGATGTCATTGAGATTGGGTATATGGTTTGGCTGGGATACAATGAGGTCAGTAAGAATATGTGGTTGGAATGGGATACAATGAGGGTATGGAAAATATGTGTGAAGGTTTGTAGTTGTGGTAGTACTGTATTACAATTCTTAATTTGTATAACTGCTCCATATAAATCCCATACAGCATGTATAGTTTACACAAACAAATTGAATGTTCACTGAGTGGTGGTACCTAGGTCATTTAAAGATCTAATAGTCGTAGTGGGCACATTCACAACTCAGTCAGTTATTCAGAATGGTATAATTCTAATCAATTTTCTTTTCCAGTCTGGATTTTTACCGAACGTCTTTCGTGCCTTGTCACATCGTCCCGCAGAGTACCGTGCCTTCTTTGCGTACTATGATGTACTTATGTACAAGGAGCATGGTAACCTAAGCAAAGCTGACAAGGAGATGATTGTTGTTGCTACAAGCGCTCACAACAATTGTGTTTACTGTGTTATTGCTCATGGTGCCCTGATGCGAGTGTTCTCGAAAAAGAAAATAACAGCTGACCAGGTAGGGAATGAACCATTTAAATAAGTGGGGTATTCTTTGAATAAAATCATATGCAACTGTTACAAACTTGAAGAACGTTTCTGATTTAATTTTCTCTGGAAATGATTTGTATTGAAATTATTGCAGGGCAGACATTCTGTAGACGCCAAAGTTGCCTATTAGTTGGCAGGTCGGTAGGGCGCCACCACAGTTCATTTAATTCTAAATGCAGGTAACACAGGGCGAACAAACATGTCAGGTTTTAGGAAAGGTCAGAGGAAAATAGACGGCAAGTTGGCGATTGGTAATCTTTAGGCCCATGGACTTGTATGATTATTTACGGAAACTTACAGAACAGTGGCAGGGTTTGTGAAGTTGTCAAGTTGAAGTCTGCAATTAATCGATGTATTAAAGACTGAAGTTTCTTGGTACTGCTTGTGTTGCTATATATTTACGTACACTCTGTTGTGTTTGGAATCGCGTGAATATTATCGAACACATTGACGGTTTGCTGTAACGTAGCTTCCACCCACCTTTCGTCAGATAACATACAGTGTCAGGTTCTATGTAGATGCAGTAGTGCAATCGCCAACCGGAATTATTGTGTCAACACATCCATATTGGATTTTTTTCTATTTCTGGTGAGAAAATTTGTGAATTATTATGATGCAATTCTGGAAAATGCTCTTCATTTTGATGAAAATGTTTTATATTCACTGAAAACAGTTTTATTTATTGATGCCCTACTACAGGTAGCCATCAACTGGAAATGTGCCGATTTGGACGCAAGACAGAAAGCCATCTTGGAGTTTGCCATGCGAGTGTGCAAGAGTGAGGCAATCCATGAAGAACATTTCGTAGATTTAGAGAAGCATGGTCTTGACAGAGAAGATGCTTGGGACATCGGTGCCATTGTTGGTTTTTTTGCATTATCCAATAGAATGGCCCACCTTGTCAGTATGCGACCTAACGACGAATTCTATACTTTTGGGAGAATACCAAAGGACAAGAAAGACAAATAATATTAATTTTTTAAGCCAAATTAAAATCTAACTTTCAAGAAAATGAATTTTGGGAACGAGGTTCAATGTCAGCAACTGGAAGCATGAATTATGCTTTGATTTTTCGGAATATAGAATGATTTTGTGTATGTTTTGGAGCCTAATTTTGGATAATTTGTTGTAAAAATAATTTTTTTCTATACCTATAAACTTGTTTTATATGCATCATCTCGTTTGAAGACTTTAGCAAGTCATAATATTTGCACGATATTCTAGTCCGAATTTTCTTGCCAATAGCTGAAAACTAACAAGCATTCATAAATTCATATACGATTGAGAACTGCACACAAGATTTTCTGTTTGATTGAAAATGCACCACATCACAGAATAAATATTTGTTATGAAGCTTGTTGTGCACATGCGACGTGGATGGTCCATTGTTTGTTTCGTTTGCGTCAACTATAGTTGATTGACCTTATGCATAGTAATTTCTACTGCACATGACGATAAATAATAATTTACATATAATCACAAGATTTACAGCGTACATACAGATATTAATATTTTGTCCCCATAATGTAAACAATATGAAAATGTGGGACAATATTGTGAACAATAGTTTAACTTTATTTCAGACATATAAATACATAAAGGAATGAAATTCTGTCTTTACACTATCATTGATAATAACAATCCTTGCCGATATTTTAGTTTTGTCAGACCACTCAATGCTGTGAACTTTATTTTTAAGCACAAGTATATATTAGGACATGTGTGGAAGTAAAGTGATTAGTATATATCCGAGAAAATAAACAAATTTTTTTCCTTGACAAATGTTTTTCAAATGACATCTCTTCTTTAGCAATTTCAGAGAACATCAAAAACATTTCCGAAAGTCAAAAATTTAGAAAAAAATTCTCATTGGAATAACTAACACTCATCTTAGGGACTGCTCAGTTTTATGATCAGGGGTGGGCCAGCAAAATTTAAAGCCAGGTAATATGTTATATTCTTAACAGTTCTTGTACTTGGGTCATTGATTTCATGAATTTAGCAAAAAAGAAAGCTACGAGTGAAGGGAAAATGACCGAAAAGAATGGTAAATTTTAAGTGAGATATGTACACGGCAGTATGCAATACTAGAAATTTATAAATGCAGTTTGTGAAATATGTGAAATATGATTCCATTTGAAGGTATGCATATTTTAAGATGATTCCAAACAACTCGCGGTATAAATTTCTATAAATAATAATGCAGATGTAAGAATTTGTGAAATAAGTCATTTGTGACAAGTGTTGTGCCAATGTTCTTGCTTGGAAGCCAGATGATTAAAGTACGCACACAGCAAACATAATCACTTCATTAAACATCTTCCAAATAAAACTTTCGAAAACACAAAATATTATTAACAACCAAGTGGGGGGTGCCCCCACAGCGATTCCATTTGCTTTCTGCATGTCTGAATTATCCAATGTTTCTTATTCGAAAAGCGTTTATTAAACGTTTCTATATTGGGGCAATAATCTCTATTCAAACTTTCCTAAGTGGTCTGTGATTCCATTGGTCAGAAGTTTGACTGATGCATGCTGGGAGGAGAATCTTCAACTCGTATCGCCGTACATGCATATTGAAGTTACATGCCATAATAAATACACATGTCCTCAACATAATTAAAGTTATGAATGATGAAATATTGACTTCTCGTTTTTTAATTCATTCTTCCAAACCTACATGTATTTTTCTTTGGTACCGGTAATGAGCAAAATAAGTACACTCAAGCAGATATTTTTAAAACGTGTTTTCAACAACACATCATTTATGTAAATCAAAACACATTTAAATAATACTGGTCTATGAAAATAAATATGCAAAACTAGAAAAAATAACTACATGTGTTAAATATGCCCTGCAGGTAATGGAAAAGAACAAGGGTTAACTTTTGTTAGCTAAGTCTCGTTTAGATTCTTGTTTGTTCATATACACTTGTACAGATCGCCACAGTGCCGTGATATTGCCAGCACCAAAGCCAGTAGCACCATGTCGTTGTATAAGCTCTAGGAAGAAAGTGTCCTCTTCAAATATCGGCTGCGTGAACACCTGCATCAGATACCTGTATTGCGGAAAGTAAAAATTAATTTAGAATTATTAACGACAGATCCTAAACAAGCTGAGAATTCTGAAATGCCACTATTATTGTGTACTGACCTATGACCCTCCGCTACATCTGTATTACTGGTGTTTCCTGCATCGGCTTCAGAGTCAAGCAATATACAGTATTTCTGCATCAAGTCAACATTCTCGCCAACATACTGAATTTCATGAAGTTTTCCAATCTGAAAATCAAAGTTTATAAAAATCGTTCATTGCTAAGTGGTACTTGAATGATCAATGAGTTGAACAATTTTCCTCGGCAAATTAACTCACAGAAGAAATCAGTTCCAACAGATCGTACTTCGATATCGATAATTCACATCTGCATTGCGTTACCAGAAATTCTGAATTCTGATTGGGTAATAACAGATTTCACCTATTAGGTCAAAGGACGTTGCAGGTCAAATCATGGTCAAAACATCATGGTGGAAAGTGCTTTTTAGCAAAAGTTTGCATAACACATTCAACAATGAAGATAATGATGAAGATTTTGACTTCATCTGTGTTCCAACAGACTCTAATATTTTTAATCTCGTAAATTCAAATGGTATGTAATTAATATTGTGATAAATTGTGAATATATTTTGTGACCATTTCTGTTTATTCATTGTAAAAGTCAAGAATGACGTGCCCACCCCTTTAAAATCATGATTTTCTGAGTTGAGGACCCTGGGCACTAATGTGGTTGAGTACGGTAAATAATACTGTATTTGCTCAATTAGTAGTGCATACACTTAAATATCAGGTGTGTGTTGACTAAGCATGTAATATGGATACAATAAATGTAATCTGGGGTTTATACATGCATGTGCTTTAAATAGAGCAAATACAGTATAATAAATCAACATTGTACTTTTTGAGGTTAAAAAATTAAAATAAAATTAAAATATATTGTCAAACGGGTAATTACCTCGGTATAGTATGCATCTGGTGGAACTATAAGCGGTAAACCGGCCTCGGTTATAGCGGCTGTTGATGCTACAATATCAGAAGTATGAAGACCGATGTGCTGGATACCTGCACCGCCATGATTTCTGAGGAACGTTTCAACTTGATTTGGTCCTATTGGTAGAAATGTACACAATTTAAAATGTAGACACATATTCAACATTTCTTATCAAATGAGTGATTGTAAATGTCATAGTCTATGCTCAGTATTTATACTTTCATATTTGAAATTATAGCGAGAGTCGCCAATCATGAAGTGAACTCTATATCTAATGTGCGTGTATTAGAAAATAGTGTACGTTGAGTCGAAATGGGTCAGCCATTTTCACTGCTGTTTCACAGAATTAAGAAACAATGGCAACTGATCAGTCATGGGAGATGCAGTATGGGAATATGAATGAACCATGTTCTTTGGTTGCGTCAGTTGAGATGTACATGGCAAACCACTCGGCAACTTTGCTAACAATATCGCTGTTTTAGTGTCTGAAACAATATGGTGATGACAGTAATTAATATGCAAATTGCCTAATAATAATGCAAACTGAATTAGAATAAAATAGTAAGGACTTGAATCAATTGTTCCTATTTCAGGTTTCATAAGGAACTATCAGAATGCTAAAATATATGAAGTGTTAGTGAAGGTGTTACTCAGTAAATGCAGGGACAGTGATTTAATTTTGCTTTTAAGTAACACGAAATAATGACAATTTTGGTGATCCATAGATACTGGAAAGCCACTGACTGACCACATATATAGCAGTATAGTTTTTATATTTTTTGCTAAAAAGCAATAAATAAGCAGTATTTTATGCAAATTAATTGTGGTCATTTTGTGGACAACACGTGAGAAGAATACTGAGTAGATACTGTAAAAGGATTAATTATTCACTGGGTTTTAATTTTGCTTATTTCGCTGACTGGAAAATGCGTTAAATTAAAACCCAGTGAATATGTAAAATTTAACATAGAACACATTATCTAAATGATAAAACCGTGAATTTAAAACCCACTGAATTATGCCTGAAATGGTAAATCAGCGAAATTTAAACCCAGTGAAAATTAGTAATTTTACAGTAAACAAAAACGTTATAACACTATCATACCAATCAATAAGAGTTGATATTACCTTGTCCTGGCAAAGGTTCCGCAATGACAAATTTAATTTGAGGGGTGCTTGAAGATTCCACCGAGCCCAGATGAGTTTCGGCACATTTCCAATATTGCATGGCTTTTAATCTCATTGCCATGTCTTCCCCTTTAACTACGTATCCTTCTGTCACATCTTCACTCCTATGTAGTGTAGAAAATAAATATGACAGTCCAATGTGCTGTTAAATACAAGTCATTGAAAATGACGCATTCTATGTTAAATTTTTGAAAGTTCTCTTTGTGCTCGTCATATTAAAGCGAAGGGGTTGTCGTGAGCATGTCCTTGAATCTTGAGTGCCAAGTGGCAAATACAACAGATTGTTTATTTACATCAAATTCGAACATGTGTTGCGTGACGACCCCTCCGGTTTAAAACATAGCAAAGAAAAACATAGATCACAAGTGAAAGTAAAACAAATTGAGGTGCATGTCTATGTTATTGCACTTGCTGAAATTGTTTAAAGTATGTTTGAGAAAATGCAAGTCTGAGGATCAAAATGAGGCACAAAAATTACATTACCATACATCTCATGAATATGAATGCTTGTTGCCATGTGTCATGTGTTACATGGGGCTTACAATGTAAACATATATGTAATGACCGAATTTGAGATTCTGGGAATACAGCAATTGCAACTCTTTGTATTGTTAGTTCTGGACTAAAGTGGCTAATAGACCCTTTGTACAAGTCAAGCGCCCTCTTGTGTTGAATAATATGGTGAAGGCAGTGTCCTCAAATTTGCAGTTTTAATACTAGTAAGTATCAGTTCAAATTTGTTTGTCATGTCTCTAATTTAAATTCACATGGCTAGGGGTGTCAAACAATAGTGATCTATCTGTGAATTACACTTGCCTATCTACATCATAAAATTAAAAGACCCCCCCCCCCCCCCTTAGCAGGGGGGATAGTTCGTCAGTTTATTACTGTAAAACGTTTCCATAACCATAGTATGTGACAAATTTGAATGAAAACTGACAAACCATGTCCAAGTTACCCGATATCCACTTTTGAAAGATTAGCATTTTGACATTGAACTATAAAAACAGAAGTTCAAAATCATTTTTGTGGCAGAATATACTAAATCTCACAGTTGAATGGAAAATTACATACATGCATTTGAAACCATGTTACTGTACTAGCAATATGATCACACGACAAACATTAAAGTCTAGAAATACTAATACAAACAAGTGAGTATTCGTTTCTGCCAGTTTTGCTAGTGCTTATTTGCAGAGTGTATTATATGTGATTTGATTATTTTTTTAATTAAATTGCAATAATCATACTCATTTATGTTCATACAACAGTTTTCAGGCATCTTTTGTGTTCTGTGATACTATTGGTTAGAATTGTGTTTGAACAATGTGAGATCTTTTTAACATACAGTGTATAAAAATACACAAATATTCAAATTGCATACTCTCATCTTATAAATCTACCAAATCCCCAGCAGTATGGCTAGCATATTCAATTCATGGCAGAAACTATTTGCACCAAAGTAGTACAATGTTTGCATGTACTGAAAAAACACGCTCAACACTGGCACGGATCCTGCTATAGCAAGATGAGGTGGATGCGTAAAACACAATACACTGAGAATGTGTATGCGCACACCAGCAATCACGTAAGCTTGGTTCACCTTGCATAATAATATAACAATATTGTGCAAGATTCAAAGTGGAATTGAAATTTTCACGGATAAATCAGGGTTCTGGCAGCTATTTAGTTTAAGTTTGGTTCATCTGTTCGATTCTAAACAGCGCACCTTATAATTCTGATTAGTGTGCATACATGTACCGGGTATACAGGTACATGTATTAAAAAATTAAGATTCTAAAATCTAATATTAAACATGAACTCCTTTATGATAAAATACAATTTCATAAAATGAGGATTTATATTTCATGTATCATGATAATTTACCTGTTAACCAGAAATCTTTTGAGCCCAAAACAATGTTCATAAAACATCAAAATATCTTCAGTTGCTCCCATTGGACACGCGTAAGTCACGTGATCAAAATGAGAAAGAGAATCCCTTGACGATGACACGTTATTAGTTTCCTTGTCGTGAATATACTTAAAACCTGGTAAGAACGACCCCGTGTATTCGGATGTGTCGAGTAGTGTGTGCACGACATCCCCGACACATGACTTCACAACGGCACGCCGAACCCGGCCCAGGTCATCCTCGTCAAAGTGTGGGGTTTCAAGGACTTTGGCACCGTTGTCCCTAGCATGGCTAAAAGTCCTGTCAACATCGCTGACTTGGAAAGTAACATCATAGACAGAATTGACATGTGGACAACATTCTTCACGATGTGAGTTGCTACGTGACATAATCTCCTGATCGGGATCACGTTCGCAAAGTTCGCCGGTAGCAGGCAACGAACACGGTCTTTCAATTATAACAAATATGGCAGATCCACTTCTGACCGCCCACTGATTGGAAGAAACAGTTCGTCTTTCGGCAAAAAGTCTGAAACCCAGACACTTAGTAAATTTTTTGAGCATTTGGGGGCCATTTCGGACGGATATTCGCACATGATGAACCGTGGCCGCCATGATGAAAAGCGCCGACAGCGACATAGATTTGACCTTACGTTGTCTGAAAAATGTCGTCGTTGGCGGCGGGTTCTCGAAATCATTACGGTTGACAGAGTCGGCGTGGGTTCAGTTTATGGGACTGATGCATAAATATTCACAACCTACGTCATTAACATCATTATTTGATACATTCTTAATTATTTTTTTCAATTAATTTTCAATTTAGTAATAATGTAATTTAACTAAATAAATAAATAAAAAAACGTAAATTCGTAGACATGGGCAAGATGTAAAATGTAATCTGCTATTTTTTCGTCCGTAATTTGTACAAAGATCTTTTTATTGTAAGCGTATTTTCCATTTTCCACATTAAATGTTGGTACGCAATTTCCAATTTTGATTCTTCAACACAAATTATCAAATATATATTGAAAATGTAAAATGTAATTAGGAATTTGTTTCATCTGTAAAGTGTAAAAACCTATTGTTTTTACTGTAAATGTATTCGGGACTTTCATTTTATTTCCTGTAAAAACGTAAAATATATATATGAGCTAACATATCCCAATGCATCTCTGCCATAGGCTAATATCGGGATTGACTAAGTATTTAAAAAGTTGTATCTTGTTTCTGCCTCCAGCACAAATAATGCCTTCTTGCCCTTTCTGTTTAAGAATTCGTTATGAGTAGAACATAGTCAAATCTATATTTAAATAACGATACATACATACATACATAAACAAAAGACACACTAAAACGGTTTAACAAAATTGATAATTATGGAATCACATTACCATACTTTCTTTTAATGAAAATGCAAGCTGTATTAATGAGGACGTGTTGCCCGTAATGTACTAAAATTTTGACTCCTTATCCAACAAATGGAAATTAACAGTTTTATTTCTAATTGAGTCAAACAATTTGCTCCCAATTGTAATATGTTGTGGGCATTTCACAACATAATGGAATTCATCCTCAATTGAATCTGGGTTGCATCTTGTACAGATTCTGTGTTCAACTTTAACCTTTGGTCTTACATGCATGCCCTTCTCAATCATTAACGGATGGTCACTTATTCTTAGTTTGCATATTTGTTTTCTTATTTCACCATCCTTAATATTATTTATATACTCCTCCATTTTAAATTCTGTTTTGAATAATTTATATGTTCTTAGTTTATTCTGTTCACCTGTCCCATCTGTATTTATAATTTTTTTTTCATTTTGACTCATAGTCAGTCTCTACACGTTACAAATTTCTTGAATGTTATTTTCATTCCCATTCCAAAAATTACCCACTTCTTTTTTACCAGTAATTTCTTGCATTGACTTGGCCAATGAGGATTTATTATCCATCGTAATCATCAATGCATGATCATATGAAGATATGAATATTCATGAGTTAACCTCATAAGTCCCGCCCATTGTTTACTGCATACAGTGACGTCACGTGAGCCGGTTGTGAACCGATCATCGCAGACGGACCAAATGTGGCATGAGTTATGGGTTAGCGAATGCTGCTGGTCTAGGGTGGGTCACTCTATCTATAAATGTAACGATTATCAGTCGCTAACACTATGGCACAGAGACCAAATGTAACTTCCCAATCTGTTCGGCCAGACTTCGCCGAGCTGAATGACCTTGTTTGTGAAAAGGTGGGTTTATTATTAAAATTATATAATATATGAATATTTGAATCAATATAAACGGTAATGTAACGTAATATAACGTAACATGGGTACACAGCAGTAAAGTAGCGATTTTTTGGCAGTGTTTAGTAGTTTTAGCTCCATCACTGACGACCACATAAGTTATGTTGTCGGTTGTGTTTTGTTGTAGTTTTGAACGTACACTATATCAACAAACATATTAAATTAGTTTGAACTCAGACTAGTAATACTAGTATTACTAGTCTGAGCTTTGGATCAGCCGATCACCTCGTTGTCATTTCCAGGGGTTATGGTCAGGTCAGGGATGGACCATTTGAATCGCAGGGGAGTGTCGAAAAAAGACACACAACTAAATTCCTTCAAATCGTATACGAAACAGTATACTTTGAAAAGGTCAGGGGGGTGAAAAATGTCATCAATTTTGAAATTTGAAAATCAGCGAGAAACCAACAAAAATAAAAATTGAAAATATAATGATGCATCACAAACAAGTTACTATTGCCAATAAGGACTAACCGAACAAATTATATATCCCAATCGTGATATACATGTATCCTGATTCAGATATATTTTGCCGCACTAGCGGTTACCCATCCTAGAAAGTTCCAGTTCAAATTGTACAAAACCAAAAGAATAATCACTCATAACAACATACTCACTAGACAAATCTGCAAAACAAGATCAAATAAAAGTCTGAAACTAAAATAAAAAAAAAAATATACAGTTTACATCAATTACCATAATTGCTCTCTATTAGTAGCATATATTCTTATGTAAAAGACAGACCTATGTGTACGGTCAAAATACAATGCAAGTCGTATTTAAACGATACAGTATAGTTTTTGGTTTATGTATGACTCTATTGGAGATGCACTTCTAATACTGGAGTAAATAAGGTATTTATGTATATTGAGTGGAGTCTAATTTATTGTGTTTTTTATTTTCAGTCTGGCGGCGAAGTCTTATTTTCTACAGATGACTGGTTTGCTGAGTCCGAAAACTTGTTGAAGGTAATTTTAATCTAATAGTATTGTGATGACCCACTTAAGTACTGGAACTAGTTTTGCCAGGTATTTTAAAAGATTTTGTAAAAACGACATTTCACTGAAACAAGCCTTAAATAATGAACCCCAGTTGACAAATAATAAAGTAAAAACTATTCTCATTTATATATATATTTGAATATAAGTTATAGCAGCAAAGTTTAACCTAATTCCAAACTCAAATCAATTATCAAACTTGCTTAATTGATTATCCATTATTTTGTAGCATGAATTAATAAATACACATGTGTGTGTTCATACCTTGACTTTTCACCAATGCTGGGATTATGCTTGCTAATTTGCATGACTGCAAAGCTTTGCTCATTACATCACTCCATGTTCAAAGCAGGTGACATACATCAAAAAGTAAAACGCTTTGCTGCTTTATCTGAAATTTGAATGCACAAGCTGCACTTCAAATGTTTCAATATTAATCGCTAATGACAATTAACACGGCGCAAAATTAACAACGTGCTCAGATCAGTACAATGTCCACATTTTAATACTAACATGACCTTATTTGTGGTGTGTAAAGTTCACACATGTGACCCTATAACCTTTAGGGGTTGTTTTTTTCAGTCTAACATATCTGCCAATCTCTTAGCTTTAATATTTGCAGAAAGTAATCCAACCCTAAGTGAACTGCTTGTTGATTGTAGTTCTGTAAAGAACTATTATCTTGTTGGATTTATATTTATTGTGCAGTTACTTTGGTGGACATTATTTTTATAATTATATTATTATAATTTTAGCAAACATTTCAAACACTTGAAAAGAAAAAAGATTTTGCTTTTCAAGGGAAATTGAATACCATAATAACTCGGTTTTAATTACTCTTTTGTATTAAGGTAATACCCCAACAAAGTAATGCTGGGGACTAAATATAAATCTACAACAATTGACACTTTCAACATGCACAGTTTGGCTTTTCCATCACGTTTGTGGCACACTCACACGCGGTAGCCTACCGGTAGTAGGGTTTGATCTTAAAACAATCGCATCCCTGACTGCTAGTCCACGATAGTTATAAATATATTGAAATTTATTGCAGACTGAACCGGCTGTATTTAAAGCTGAATTGTTCACACCATTTGGTAAATGGATGGACGGATGGGAAACGAGGCGTAAACGTATACCAGGACATGATTGGTGTATTATAAAATTAGGAATTCCTGGTCTAATAAAGGGTTTTGATTTTGATACTTCATTCTTCACTGGAAACTATGCACCTAGGGTATCTGTGCAAGCAGCCAGTCTTGATGAATGTATGTAGCTATTGTTATTTTTTTAACATGTTTCGTAAACAAGTAATAACAAGTTTGTTCCATGTCAAAAGATAATTTGTGTATTTTTAATTTTTTTTCCGCTATCTACCTGGATAGATTTTTGTACATCAATTTTTAAGTTTGTAGACCACAGGGGTTTTTCTAAACCGGGGAACAGGGACGCAGCGCTCTTATACTCTTGCCTGGCGCCCTTTTACCAAATTGCCGATTGAACTGTGTTTTTAGATACATGAAATACGAATTGTTGTCTGTTCTAGGATTTTTACTTCAAACTGTTCAGTTTGTTCAGAAAGGAAAATTTTTTTTTTTTAAATCCATATTATTATTTAAATAAATTATGCCTGAGTAATTTTACATGTTCTAGCTCAGAGACATCAGTAAGACAATTGTTCAGAAAATGTTGATGTCTTGACACATATTATGTTGGGATTTGGCATATCATAGCGCCAGGGTTTTAGTCAGAGATTATAAAATGTCCCTGTCTAAAAATAATATGAAAATGAAAGATAGCATTCACCAATCTGTAGCCACAGAATTATATATATATATATAGGTAATTTTCAGTCACAAATTGACAGGTTTGTCAAATAAACTGTTGTACCCATCTAATGTACTTGTACCATGTCTGAGTAAATTGACAGGTAGACAGGTGACTGGCTAACAGCCTGCATGGCATACTCTCTCTCTCTATGTTTCTAACCTACAGCTGTTAAATTTCCTGCGAGATCTGCTGCGATGGGAACTGCTGCCACAAATGACCAACTTGAAGCAATGAAAGCATTAAAAACCGAGGTAAAGTAACTAACTCATTTGATGCTGATGAATGTAATATATAAACAATAGTATGTTTAATTTATAACTGTAGGGGGCACCCTTTAATTGAATGCTGGTAATGTTCCAGAACAAAAACACTGAAAACAGAATGCATGTTCTGATGGAAAGCTACTGAAGCTAAATAGCAATTTTGTACAAAACTTCTTTAGTTTTACTATATATTCTCAAATCTTTAAATATTATTAATGTAATTATTATTATTCTCTGTTCAGTTCATAACATCAGTTCTTTGTCTACAAAATTGTAGATCATGATTTTTATTATCAAAATATTGTTATCATATTATTATTCATTATTATTATTTGTCGTAAGGAGTGGCAAGAGGTTCTAAATGAAGTGGAACTAAAACCTGGATATGTAGACACCTGTCACAACTTTTTTGCTTGTAATAGTCGTAATACAAGGTGGACACATATAAGAGTCAATATATACCCAGGTAATTAAGTATGGGACAAACCTAGTATCAATTGCCACGTTCATGTTATGGGATCTTGGGATGTGCAATATATACAATATATAGCTGCACTCCCTCCTTTATCATTTCATACTAGATGAATCAGTATCCACTGAGAGTGTAATTTTGGTTTGTGCCGAGCGTTC